ATATTATGATCTATGTTGTCTTTGAATGACTTTATTTATACATGTTTTATTGGCTTATAAATGAGTCATTTCAATCTTAGAAGATCCTCCTTGGACTTCTTTTAGGCTACAGTACATTTGTCCTGCTCCAAATTACTTTACTTTTTGACCCAAATAAGAACATAGTCTACTATTTTTCCTGTCCTACAGGTTCAAATGAATATTGAATCATTTATACAAGTATAAATGTTTTCTGGCATTGAGTTGAGCTGTATATGATCGTTACTTTTGCATTTATCTCCTGTCATTAATAAATTTTATCTTTGCAATGAGGGTAAATCTAGACTGTCTTCAAAGTGCCCTTTTGGTGATGGGGGAGGGCATTTCACCATAGAGTTATTAAGGACATTGAAGCAGAAACTCACAACATAATCCCTTAACCACAAAGTATCAATAGTTAACACACATGATAATCACTTTACTGTAATAAGGAACAAGGCTCGCTAGAATTTATAATGCAACAAGCAAAGTGTTTTCTGGATTCCTTGAAGGAATTGGAGGAGTTTCAATAAACTAATCCTTCGGCCTCTCAGGGGAAAAGGAATGTTACATTTCAGAAGCACCATTAAAACAAATACTGAGCATGAATGTGCCAATAACAGGAAATCATAGATATAGCAGGCTACCTTTTATTTTATTTCTAATTCCAATTAGTTATCTAGAACAGCAATCATAGAACATTTTTAAATAGTGGACTGGCAAATAATACAGGCTTGCATATGGGGTGACTCTGAATAAGTACAGAAGAATGTTTAAGGGTTCTTCTACTTAAAACCTTTTGTCTTCTGGTGTAGCAGCCACTGAAGTACATTTCAAAGCCATGGATCAAGAGACATCCCATCAAGGGCATAATTTTTTATTCATTCATTATTTGACACCTCTTCCAAAATAAGTAATTTGCGATATTACAGATGATTACACTAACTGGCTGGAGGTTGTGTGTGTGTTTGTGTGTCGGTAAGGGGGAAGGTGTGCTCAGGAGTAGTTTAGCCAATTTTTACTCTTCTTAAAAAAAAAAGAAAAGAAAGTGACTGGTTACTGGGTCCCCCACCCAGTACACTCTCGTAGAGAGGTGGTCTCTCAGATGTGGGGACTGTGCCTTATTCACTCTTACATTGCCATTGTTTTTAGCATAACACTTACCATGTGGGCATATTCAAACAAATTATTGAAATAAATTAAAGGGAATTAAATTGTTTCAGGCAACAGTCATGGGTCTGCAAGGGTAAAGGTTGTATTAATTAATTATCAAATATTTACTGACTGCCATTAACCTATCTCTAAACACATACTTAAAATCCAGAGAGTCCTAGAACTGAAGGAGATATTAAAGCTAATCTTTTTATATTCTCTTTATTGTTAGAGGGAGTCTGACACAGAGCATGTGAAGTGTATAAACAGAGGTTAATAGGTAGTGGAGGTGTGGCTCTAGAATTCCGTTTACCTTGCTCACCATCTCAATGTACTGCCTGGAAAATAGAAGATAACCAGTAAAGGTATTTTTTATAAACCATGCATGGGCCATATTTGGACCATGTACCTTTTATCAAAGGATGATATAAACTCTTCTCACATGATCAAAACACACTATGGGATACAAAGTAGTATAAGTTATGGATTCCAACTTTCAAGGTACTTTTAATTTTATGTGAAAATAAATATGAATGTAGATATTGTAAAGACTCAAAGAGAATCATGTGTGTTAAGAAATGACCTTGAAAGCCAATGTAAAATATTTTCTCAGTACCTTTTATGTGCCTGGAAATTTCCTGTATAATGGAAAATAGTGATGAACCAGGCAGACAATGGTTTTGCCCTTTGAACTTATGCTGTAGTAAGGAATGAAAGAGGTAGTAAGAGACTACAAGGAAAATAATTTCAAGTTGGGAAAAGATCTCAAGAATTGAGAATGTGTATACCATGTAATTGGAATTATAAGAATACTCTACTTACTAAACTGGAGAATACACGCTGAAGAATAAGAGAGGTGGCTCCCGTGTAAGTATGAGGAGCTCTGAGAGCCTTGAGCAAATGTGGGGCACCATGCAGGAGTTGGCTGCAGTTTTCACGCCAGGGGAACAATGTTTTGAAGGCAGAGGGACCGGTGCCCCAGAATCATTTCAATCTCTAAACACTGGAGAGGTGAGGACGGAAGGCAGAGGGGAAACGGGAAAAAGATAAATCTCTCCACACATGTGAAAGAGCTCGGATAAGGAGGACAAAGAAAATACAAATCTAAGGCTCACCTCCAATTTCTCTAGTTTGGATTTTTTAACCATAAAGCAAAAGTATACATCCAATTGGACAAAGCTATCTCACAAACATTCCTGGGAAATTATGAATGATAGTGAATTATTTTGAAGGCTATTGACCGTAACTAAGTCAATGTTATGCTTGGTGAGCTTGTATTATCAGATAGATAACCAAACCGAAACATAATGAACAAAACAAACACTCACGGCGATGGAGTTGGTTCTCATTCCCAGGACCCTCTAGAACAGAACAGACCCCCGTTGAGTTCTGAGACCTTAAATCCATATGGGGGTAGAATGGGGTAGTTGAACAGCTGACATTGTGGTTAACAGCTCAGGGCATAGCCTACTAGTCACCAGGATGTGTGTGTGTGTTTAATGACTATCAATCACTTTCTTACTGCCTTTAAATTCATGCCAACTCATAGCAACCGTCTAGTCCAGGGCAGACCTGTTCCTGCGAGTTCCTGCGATTGTAACTCTTTATAAGAGTAGAAACCCCATCTTTCTGCCAGGGAGCAACTGGTGGTTTTCAACTGTTGCCCTTGCAGTTAGCAGCCCGACACAACCACTATACTTCCAGAAATCCTTAACCAACTATAGAAATTATAAAATTGAAATCATATCCAAAATGAAGTCTTGATTTCTTGGCAAGCATCAGCAATTCAAACAAGACAAAGGATTAATAACAATTTAGGAACATGTAACAATATGAGTTCACAGGTGCAAATAGAGCAAATGTCAAAAAACGATGCTCTAATGAAGTGAAGAATGAGAGTGTTCTAGGATGAGTCTAGTATAAAATGACGGTCTCTGTCCAGGTAAAGGGGGCCTTTGGAGTCTCTTCACTCTTGTCTAACCGTTACACCCAAAATGAAACCTTGGAACTACTTACATGATGCATTCACTCACTTATTCAGTTACCAAGCCATATTGTATATGTTATCAAGAGTGAAATAAATGGAAACAGACAGGCAGAGGCAGAGGTGGGAGAAATCTGTGTTCAGAAAGGAGCAGCATAAACAGCATAAAGGAACAGCATCATGCTCAGGGTCTCCCAACTTAGACAGGTCATCTAAGGGGTCATGGAAATTGGAGTGGGGGATACCCAGGGGAGGGCATAAGCTTCAAGGTAAAGCTCAGGAGGAAAATGGAAATGAGGCAACTATCTGTAGTGATAGGTTCAAGAATTTATGATTGAAAAATGTCATCTGCTTTAAGAATAATAAAAAAAATGACATTTGTAAGACTACTGCAACAGAAATGGAGAAGGTGATGGTGAAGAGTAGCGGGAATAAATACTAGCTGAGCACAGCCTGTGGGTAGACACTGGTGTTTTCATCCTTTTGACATTCCTCCTAACAGCCCCTGTGGCTACTCATAGCACACCTCGATGCTTGTTGTCAGGTGTGGTCCAATCCGTTCTGACCTCTGCACCACAGAACAAACTATGGCCCTGTCTTCACCATCGTCACAATTGTTGTTTACAGGTGGAGTACAGGAAGGTTCAATTAGATGGCCACTCTTATTGCTGATCAGAACCAGCATTCAGATTTCAGTATCTTTGACTTCCAAGCCTGCATTTTTAGGAGAAGACAACTGGCCCCAGAGAGCTAGCCTGCTACAATTAGATGTACGGGCAGAAATCCTGGTCCCGCTAACAGGGAACTTGCAATCAGACCTGGGAAGTAAGCCAGGCACAACAGAGGGTCAATGCCAGGAAGACTATAATCAGGACTAGAAGAAAAACAATTAAGAAGATTGTTGGAAATTATAAAACTACATTTTCCCCAAAAGACCACGTATGAGATTAATTTTTATCTATTTTGTAAAATTCTGGGAAAGACCACCTTCTGTCATATGAGAGTAAGTAGAAGGCTTCCAATCATACATGCGCATATGTATGCCAAGCCAAACATATTTAAACATGCCTCTACAATCAGTAGAAGAGTACAGACAAGTTCTCTCAATAAAACACTTGTATTAGTCTTATCAGGGTATCTTAAACAAACAAATTTAAAAAACAGTTAAAATAGTGACTTCTGAGGCAATCAAGA